TATATATATAAAATGCTAATCAATATTGATAAGTATTAAAGAAAAACTATTAAGAACTCTTCATCAATAGTCTTAAAAATTTAATTTGGAGAAAAAAAGAGTTTTAATTTTTTTCTATTTTGAATGATAATAGTAATGTAATTTCAATTTAAAATTGATAGGTTTAGAATAAAAGCCATATATTTAAAAATATAGCTTCAAATCATGGATAGTCATTTTCATCTTCTTATAAGTAATTAGTTTTTAATAGTTCTTTAAACTATCTAAATTCAATTACTCCTGATCCATCAGTATCAACTTCTTTAACTAATTCTTCAATGTCAATCGTTAATTCAAATTCATTCTTAATTATTCTAATCAATTTCTCTGGATCAACATTTCCTGTAGTGTCTTCATTTCCTCAATCTCTATAAATGTATCAATCATATCTTAATCATTATCTTCTATCCCAGCATAGTCTAGAAAACAGTTCCAAAAAAATCTTTAAATTTTCTGCGTCCATAATTTTCATCAACAATTCACTCATAAACTTATGAGCTTTTTGAGGTTTTATTTCAATTCCTTCATTTTTAAAGCAATTTCTAAATCTTCTGCCATTATTTCCCCTGTTTAACACGAACAACGATTCTAAAAACAATAATATTATTGTAATTATAATTATTTAAAATGAGGCTAATCTATGTTATTTTTATTGTTAAAATTATATAAATTAAATAAATAAATCAATGATGCTTTTAATTTTAATTATGCTTGCTGAAATTAGATCATCATAATCTAACTAGGATGGACAGCTCAATTATTTAAACTTTCCCATGATCAGTTTATAAAGTGAATAAGTTATTGGAAGTTTTTCAAAATATTCAGTTCTGAATAATATTCAACATTTAGGGAATAGACAGAAACAAGATTCCCATAAATACTTAATATATATGGCAAAATAAGTAAAAACTTTAGAGCTTAGGATAACATATTATGCTGACTTTCTAATAAACCTCAAAAGAATTGATCATTATTTTATTGTTTAATGTTGCTCGAATACTTATTTTGAAGCCTAATTTAGTATAAACACCTTAAATTATGAGGGAAAATGGTGTTTATAGTATTTGTACTTTAAGGATGAAACAGAATTAATAATTGGGTTAGATTGTGGTGATTAAAATTAATTCAAAAGTTATTAAAGTGATATAGATTGCTTTTAAGACCTAATATATATTAATGGATAGAGTATTTAAGTATTTTATTAATTTATAATAGATTTTGAATTAGGAATATTAATCAAATTTAAATCTAATTAATTTTCCAGGATAGGTGAAGATATTTTAACTATAAAACTTTATGCTTTTAACTGAATATAAAAAAGAGTTTTTGAATGGCATTAGTTAAAAATTAACAGTTAATCCATTTATTAATTATTTATAATTCTCTTCGGAAAATATTGCGAATTATGTTAGTTAACTAAGTTTTAGTAATAGTTATGATATTCAATTCTGGTCAAAAATAAACATTAAAGATATTTATTAAAAATAAATTTGTATACTTTAAATAAAACCTTATGTTGTTAAATTTAGTCTAGACTTAAAGATATTTTAATTAAGTTTTATAAAATAATAAGAATAATGGTCTTACATTATTGAATATTATTCATATAGCTACCCTTATATAATAGACATAGATTTAATAAACGAATTAAAAAAAAGTTTCTCTTAAAATATTGAAGAGGAAGTGATCACTTAATGGCATTTTGTATAAATTAAATATGTATTGGATACTCTTTAATTTTAATTGAATAGTTTTATAAAAAATAAAAAATATGAGTTGAAATTTGAATAGATTTATTAATTTACAGATATAATAATAGCCTTTTAATTTGGAGAGAATGATAACAACAGAATAGAGGGAGAAGTAGCTTAATTTAACTATTACAATTATGTCAATCTAACCAGTGAATAAGATGATGAAGAATAACAAAAAGTTTGTCATTATTCTTGTTTAAATTGTTGGGGCCCTTTTTATAACCACTGTTTATCTTGTTTGGAATCAAATAATCGGATATTTGATTAATAAGCTAATACTTGCAGATGTAAATTGTGGTATTTAGAGGAAAAACAAGCCAAATGTTATGGATTAGAAGATATTGAATTTATTAAGGAGACCTTTGAGTATTTATCTAAAGATGATAGATATGAATCTGAAGATTAAGATATAATATGTGCGTTTGGGTATTTTCAATTAAATGGCATTTGCATGTAATGGTATTTATTTTTCATTAAAAATAGTCCTTCTGCTACTTAAAAGGGAATGATTAATTGTATAGAATGTTTAGTAAATCCTTAACAATGGCTAAAGAATGGAATCTGTTTCAAACGCTATTAACAATAGATTGGATCTTTAAATAATGTATATTAATAATACAGTATAACATCAAAATTACGAGAACAGTATTTTGTTGTAAATGAAGAAGTGGTCGCTTGTGATGGATGCGAAATTTGTGAAAGATTCGATAAAGATTATTGCTTTTTATATGTAGACAAACATTTAGATTAAGATGTATACATATATTGCCAATATGGTGAGTTCTAAATGGATGTGAAAAAATGTTTTGATAATTATTAAAATAAAGCTAATAATTATAAATGTAATTAATATTGTGGTGATTGTATAATTGGAAAATGCTAATTTTGTAAAGATCCTTCGAAATATTTTATGGATATTTTTGGAATTTGTAGATTATGTAATATTAAAAATTGCAAATACTGTTTTTAATATAATTTATTGGACAAAAATTAAGTTTCTCCTTTGAAAGATGAAATTTCATAAAATGAAGAAGACTACGTTATCGCTTGCTCATTATGTTTTTCAGGATATATTTTCGATTTTTCAATTAATCAATGTATAGAATATATTGCAGATAATTATTGCATTGATGGTTTTATTATAGAAGACTAGTTTATCTGTACTAAAACTCTCTTATCTAAATCAGAAATATCAAATAATATAGCAATCGAGTTTAGTAATTGTTAACAATACTATTCTAGTTGTTCTAAATGCTTCTAAGACTTTTTTGGAATGATCACATGCACAGAATGTGCGTATGGTTATTATCTTAATTTTTTGAATGGCATTTGCTATTCTTGTTCAGCTAAATTCAACAATTCAAAAATATGCTAAATGAAAACTTCCTCGAATGATAATTGGAAAAATTAAGTACATAGCTTTTATACAAATTTTAAACCCAATAAGATTCCAATTCATTTAAAAGGGTTTTATTTTATCTAATATTATGAAATTTTGAAATGCGAAGATGGCTATGAAACAGAAGCTTTCGTTTGTTTAAAACTCAAAAATAAAGATTGTCTTGAACATGATGGAAGAGCGAGTGATTGTAAAGTTTGCAAAAATAGTTTTGATGATCTTCCAGTTCTATCTTATTTTGATTATCAATGTTAACCATGCCCTTATCCTTGTTAAGTATGTTAAAAAATGTCTTTAGATTCAGTATCAGAAATTAATCCATATTTTATTGTAAATGAACAATCCATTAATCAGACTCATTTTTGTCTTTTGAATTTTAATGAAAATTAAACATTTATTGAAACTCAAACAGGATAAATTAGAGGTAGGGATTTAGCTTAAAGAAGATATTTTATAAAATTGGAGCATTTAAATTTTCCATCTCTTCAAAATCCCGTTAAAAAATTTGATTTTTCTTCGTTGAATTTGTTAAAAAGAATTAAGCCTGCAGTTTTTATATAAAAACATAATAGTAAAACTGATTCGGCATCCTTTAATATAAGGGAATAAATATTTTCCTTGAAAAATTCAACTTATATATATGATGGATACAATGACAGCCAACATGAAAAATAATTTGTAATAGTGAATTAATCCACTGTCAATTTAAGAAATATTAATATTTTTCATTCATCAAATAGTTTTTATTTACATACAAAATTTGGCTTATCTATATTTATAAGAAACATTTCAATCTCAAATTTAAATTTAGAAAAAACTATTTTTTTAATTTCATAAGCAACTAGTATTTATATTCATACAATTCTTTTGTTGAATTTGAGGCTAATAAATTAACCTCTATTTTTCATCCAACATTATCCAAATCAATCAAAACATAAATTTTATATACATATAGAAAATATTGTAATTTTTGAAAGTAGCTTTATAAATACTACAATTTTTTAATTTTTTTTAGAAAGTGAATTAAACTTTTCATACATAGATATAAATTCTATAAACGTAGTAAATACCTAGTTTGAAAATGCTTCTNTGCATTGATGGTTTTATTATAGAAGACTAGTTTATCTGTACTAAAACTCTCTTATCTAAATCAGAAATATCAAATAATATAGCAATCGAGTTTAGTAATTGTTAACAATACTATTCTAGTTGTTCTAAATGCTTCTAAGACTTTTTTGGAATGATCACATGCACAGAATGTGAGTATGGTTATTATCTTAATTTTTTGAATGGCATTTGCTATTCGTGTTCAGCTAAATTCAACAATTCAAAAATATGCGAAATGAAAACTTCCTTGAATGATGATTGGAAAAATTAAGTTCATAGCTTTTATGCAAATTTTAAACCCAATAAGATTCCAATTCTTAGATAAGGGTATTATTCTTTCGAATTTTATGAAATTTTGAAATGCGAAGATGGCTATGAAACAGAAGCTTTCGTTTGTTTAAAACTCAAAAATAAAGATTGTCTTGAACATGATGGAAGAGCGAGTGATTGTAAAGTTTGCAAAAATAGTTTTGATGATCTTCCAGTTCTATCTTATTTTGATTATCAATGTTAACCATGCCCTTATCCTTGTTAAGTATGTTAAAAAATGTCTTTAGATTCAGTATCAGAAATTAATCCATATTTTATTGTAAATGAACAATCCATTAATCAGACTCATTTTTGTCTTTTGAATTTTAATGAAAATTAAACATTTATTGAAACTCAAACAGGATAAATTAGAGGTAGGGATTTAGCTTAAAGAAGATATTTTATAAAATTGGAGCATTTAAATTTTCCATCTCTTCAAAATCCCGTTAAAAAATTTGATTTTTCTTCGTTGAATTTGTTAAAAAGAATTAAGCCTGCAGTTTTTATATAAAAACATAATAGTTAAACTGATTCGGCATCCTTTAATATAAGGGAATAAATATTTTCCTTGAAAAATTCAACTTATATATATGATGGATACAATGACAGCCAACATGAAAAATAATTTGTAATAGTGAATTAATCCACTGTCAATTTAAGAAATATTAATATTTTTCATTCATCAAATAGTTTTTATTTACATACAAAATTTGGCTTATCTATATTTATAAGAAACATTTCAATCTCAAATTTAAATTTAGAAAAAACTATTTTTTTAATTTCATAAGCAACTAGTATTTATATTCATACAATTCTTTTGTTGAATTTGAAGCTAATAAATTAACCTCTATTTTTCATCCATCATTATCCAAATCAATCAAAACATAAATTTTATATACATATAGAAAATATTGTAATTTTTGAAAGTAGCTTTATAAATACTACAATTTTTTAATTTTTTTTAGAAAGTGAATTAAACTTTTCATACATAGATATAAATTCTATAAACGTAGTAAATACCTAGTTTGAAAATGCTTCTATACTAGATATCAATTCAAAAATTTTTAATACTTCTTATTCAGCAGGAAAAATTTTATTTAAGAACTCTAAATTAATTAATAGTGCTTTATTTAGAATTCCTACCTAAAATGTTGTATTCATTTAGAATTTAGATATTTCTTAATGTTAATTTTCTGATAGCATTATAATATCATCAATCTCCTCATTTGATATATAAAATATCACTATTTTTTAAAGTTCTTTTATAAATAGCAGCTTGATTGTATTTACCTAATTATTTTAATAAAATGGATGCAACCATTTTATTTACAACCTAACATTAGATACTTTAAACTTCTGTGAATCTACTTTGATTTCTATTAAAAATGAAAAAGATTTATCAGGATAAATAAAAATGTAAAACTTAAAGATTTAAAACATATCATCTTCTTGTTAAAATTCTTGTAGTTCTAGTAAGTGTATTTTTTCAATAAGCAGTTATAAGATTTTGATTGAAAATGTTTTAATAAACAATAGAAATAGATTTTGGTATTTTTGCCTTTAAAAGTTAACATACACAAATTTTAATAATTTTTCAATTTAAGAAGATAACCTGTTCTCTCATTAATAATTATTAGAGAAAATTTAGTTGCTTAAAAAAACCTTAAATCAAGAATTAGAAAGCTGTGGAGTTATTTTTGTTCAAGATTTTATAAATATTCAAATGAACAATTTGCAATTTTAGAATCAATTTATTTTAAATTCTGCGTTAATATTATTGGTATCAAAAGGCAGAGCATTAAATTAATAAAAAATTATAATTAACTCTTTATCGCTTCTAAATAACTATTTAATTAAATCAGAAAGCACTTAATTTACGAGTTTAATTTATATAAATTCTGAGTATTTTTGTGAGACTATGATTAATTAATCCACTTTTTAGAATAATTTGATTATTCATTTATTAGAAGATTATTCATTTATTTCCCCTGGACTTATTTATGTTAAAATTTATTAATCAAATGTCTACTTGTATAAAAACATCTTTCATGAAAATACAATTTTGAACACATCAAATTCTTTAATCTTTTTGAATTCTTATTAAGTAAATATTAAAGAATTCAAAGTCTCAAATATAAACTAAAATCAACAATTTTAAGATATATCTTGTAAATCTGTAGGTGGATTAATATTTTCAAAAACAGAATTTTTTTTTATGGATAATTCAGTTTTTGAAAATACATTTGCTTATTAAGCATCATGCTTTTTTTTGGAATTGAACAAGCTAGGGATTGTTAAGTTGAATAATATTGTTTTTGAAAATGCAAAAAGTTGGTCTCAATATTCAGAAAACGCAGTTGGAGGATGCTTAGGTCTAAATTCTATGAATTCAAATTTAAATTTAAATTTAAATAAAATCAAAGTCAAAAATTGTATAAGTAAAGATTCAAACGGATTTTTATATATGATTCCATCTAAAATAAACAATTAAATTAATTTCAATGATATTCAATTTATTAATGTGTTCTCCATGAGTAAATTAATATTTGATTTTGATTTTTAATCAACCAATCAGAATAATAATGTAAAACTTTAGAATATAATTATAATACTAGATGAGATTTATTATTATGAGAGTTTTAGTGGAATTATTAAATAGTTCAACTAAATTCAAAATAGCATTATGTTAATTTTTAATAGGTAAAAAAATCAAATAATTTTAGTAATATTTAAATAAATAATCTATATTTTGAAGGGATTTCTCCTGAATCACTGTTAGTTCTTCAATTTTCTAATTCAATTTCATTAAGAAACCTTCACTTAAATTAAATAAATTCATTAGGAAATAATCTAATATCAATATCAAATAAGGAAACACTGCTTTCTGAAACTTTATAAAAAAAGATATTCTTAAATATAGTTATAACAAACTTAACTATAATTAAATCTTAATTTACAGAGAATAGAATGAGCAACAATCGTATATAATCTTTGTTAAGCATAATAATTTAAAAAATACATTCAAAGTAGAAAATATAAATATTGTTGGCAAATATAAAATTAACAGAAAATTTATGTTAAAATTGCTAAAATGGTTTGATATATTTAAAATTAGATTAAAATGTATAAAAATGTAAACTAAAAGAATTTTTTCTATACAAAAACAATTGTGGATAATCTGGGTGTTTATTTGTAGATTAAAGTATATTAGTTGAATTGGTTGACAGTATGTTCATTTCGAATATTAATAATAGAAATGGAGTAACTAATTTATAAATAAATAATTTTATTGGGAAAAATCTTTTTTATTTAAGTAATATTGGTATATTTGGCGGAGGTCTAAGTTATAAATCTATGAATGAATTAAGCAATTTGAAAAAAATTTTTTTTATAAATAATTCTGCAGATGTTGGAGGAGCAATATACATAGAAGATACTAGAGTATCACCTAACTCATTATCATAAATACTCTTTTTTGAAAATTAAGCCAAAGATCTAACTTAAAATGTTAGAGAATAACCTAGTCATTTATAATTGTCAGTGTTTGGAAAGAATATCATGACTATTCGGGATTTAAATTTAGGTAGGCCAAATTTTACAAAGTATAATACTCAAAATTTTATTTATATTCCAAGTGGATAAAAGATAGGATATTATGAATAATCCTTATCAAATAAAGAAATTTTTAATTAAATCTATAATTTAAAACTTTAGATTTTACCCATTAATACTTTAGGTGAAATTTAAATTAATTAACTTAATTCAGAATGCATACTTGATTTATCAGAATATGTTAACTACAAAAATACAATCATAACTAAAGCTGACTAATAAATTTAAAGAATTTCTTATAATAATAANCACTGTTAGTTCTTCAATTTTCTAATTCAATTTCATTAAGAAACCTTCACTTAAATTAAATAAATTCATTAGGAAATAATCTAATATCAATATCAAATAAGGAAACACTGCTTTCTGAAACTTTATAAAAAAAGATATTCTTAAATATAGTTATAACAAACTTAACTATAATTAAATCTTAATTTACAGAGAATAGAATGAGCAACAATCGTATATAATCTTTGTTAAGCATAATAATTTAAAAAATACATTCAAAGTAGAAAATATAAATATTGTTGGCAAATATAAAATTAACAGAAAATTTATGTTAAAATTGCTAAAATGGTTTGATATATTTAAAATTAGATTAAAATGTATAAAAATGTAAACTAAAAGAATTTTTTCTATACAAAAACAATTGTGGATAATCTGGGTGTTTATTTGTAGATTAAAGTATATTAGTTGAATTGGTTGACAGTATGTTCATTTCGAATATTAATAATAGAAATGGAGTAACTAATTTATAAATAAATAATTTTATTGGGAAAAATCTTTTTTATTTAAGTAATATTGGTATATTTGGCGGAGGTCTAAGTTATAAATCTATGAATGAATTAAGCAATTTGAAAAAAATTTTTTTTATAAATAATTCTGCAGATGTTGGAGGAGCAATATACATAGAAGATACTAGAGTATCACCTAACTCATTATCATAAATACTCTTTTTTGAAAATTAAGCCAAAGATCTAACTTAAAATGTTAGAGAATAACCTAGTCATTTATAATTGTCAGTGTTTGGAAAGAATATCATGACTATTCGGGATTTAAATTTAGGTAGGCCAAATTTTACAAAGTATAATACTCAAAATTTTATTTATATTCCAAGTGGATAAAAGATAGGATATTATGAATAATCCTTATCAAATAAAGAAATTTTTAATTAAATCTATAATTTAAAACTTTAGATTTTACCCATTAATACTTTAGGTGAAATTTAAATTAATTAACTTAATTCAGAATGCATACTTGATTTATCAGAATATGTTAACTACAAAAATACAATCATAACTAAAGCTGACTAATAAATTTAAAGAATTTCTTATAATAATAAAAGTCAATCCTATGATTTAGAAAATCAAACTATAATTCTAGATCCTTATTCATAAGAAATTAAATTTTTACGATTTAAATTTATGTGTAATTGTATAAAAAATGAAAATTATACTTTCTAATTCAACACAAAAAGTTTTGCTTGCAAAATGGGAGAATATTATTTTGATTCTCAGTGTTTGTTGTGTGATTATAAGAAGGGCTTTTATTCTGTGGAATTTAAAGCATAAAATTGTTAGAAAGTAGATCCAAAAATCATTAAATCTAATACAATAAATAATATCGAATTATAACCTGGATATTGGAGACCAAATATCAGAAGCCATTATATTTCTAAATGTTTGAAAAACATTAAAAATTGTTAAGGAGGATGGAAAACTGGAGACGATTTATGTAAAGAAGGATCTGTTGGGGCTTTATGTGAAGAATGTGATATTTATAATTTTAGAGGGTTTGGTTAATTTTTTAAAAGTCAGAATTATTAATGTATACTTTGTGGTGAATAAGCTGGAGTAATTTTGTCTAGTTTTTTTACACATATAGCGTAAATAATTGATTAATTTTAGAGCTATTATTTCAATATATTTGACTGTCATCAGTGTAAATAGTATCTTTAAAAGTTTTAAATTACTTAGAAACGCAACAAAATATTACAAAATCATATTTTATAGTAATTTAGGTAATTTAACTTAAACTTCTTTAGATTAATCTGCAGTTCTTATTAAGATGATAATTAACTATTGTTAAATAATAGTTAGTATGAAATCATTTTAAACAGATTTGTACCTCAATCTTACAGATATTTTATTACCAATAAGTAATCCTATAGGAAGCTCGACCTTTTCCTATGATTGTTATTTCGCCACACAATAAGAAATTAAAATAATTTATCTAACTTAAATAATGTATTTAATGTTACCAGCTTTACACTATTTATTCTTTTTAACTAGCTATTTAATTTTAGTTATTAATCATAAGATGCAATTTTCTTCAACAATATATATTACAGCCCTAATCTATTTATTTTTTTACACATAACCTAACATAATATAATAATTTGGAGGGTTAATTGCTATGAGAACTATATCGAAGATTGATTATATCAAAATAAACACTTAGTATTTATATCATACTTAGGAACATTTAAATTGGATTAAATTTTTTATTGGTCCTGTTTTATTTATTTTTGGAAGCATCATTCCATTTCTATTATTGATTATACTCTACAAAATCAGGAAATATATTAATTTAGAGCAAACAAGAAAAATATGGGGTTATCTTTTTAATGATTACAAAGAAAATAGTTATTATTGGGAAATAATAAAAATATTTTAAAGAGAATTGATAATGTTGTCATTAATAATCAACGAGGAAAGATTAATCATGAAAAGTGTAACCACTCTTATCGTTCTGCTTGTGTATTATTTAAGTATGCTTAAATTTCAGCCTTATTATGTTAAAGCTTTGAATAGGTTTGAATAAGAAAGTATACTTTTGTGTGGAATAATCATTATTTTAAATTCTCTGAATTGTTATACAATGTTGACTGAATCTTTAAATATTGATTTTCTCCTTTAGATTTTATAAATTATTTTTTCTATTTATTTTATCTTCACCATAATCAACAAAGTTATTCAAGTTTATTACGAAAAATATGATGAAATATATGATTCATTTAGAATAAAAATATTATAGAGATTTCCAAAGATAGAATAAATTTTTCCTTCTTTAAGAAAGCTTCTGGTCTTAAGAAGCGAAAGAAAGTAGATTGTTCTTTTTAGATTTCAGCTAATTAAGAAAAAGATAATAAAAAATTTTAAATCTTAATAAACAGCAAATATACGTAGAATCTTTATAGCTAGTCCATTAGTCACGGATTTTGGAGAATAAGCTTTCATTGTGAATAAACCAACTATCCTATTCTGAAAAAGAATTATATAAATATCCATAATTTGATAAATAAAATAATAAAATAATTAAAAATTATTTATAAATAAAAAATGCTAATATATATTTATAAATATTAAATAGAACTATTAAGAACAATTATATCTGTATTTTGAAAACTTAATTCTCAGACAAAAAGAGATTTATTTTATTCAATTTCTATTTTGTATGATAATAGTAATGTAATTTTAATTTTTAATTAATAGGTTTAGAATTAAAGAAATATCTTTAAAAATATAGCTTCAAATCATGGATAGTCATTTTCATCTTCTTATAAGTAATTAGTTTTTAATAGTTCTTTAAACTCTCCAAATTCAATTACTCCTGATCCATCAGTATCAACTTCTTCAATTAATCCTTCAATGTCAATCGTTAATTCAAATTCATTCTTAATTAATCTAATCAACTTTTCTGCATCAACATTTCCTGTAGTGTCTTCATTTCCTCCCATAGCTACAAATGCATCAAACATATCTTAATCATCATCTTATAACCCAGCATATTTAAGTCTAGCAAACAGTCCCAAAAACTCTTTAAATTTTATGCGCCCATAATTTCCATCATCAATTTCACTTATTAATTTATGAACTTTGTGAGGTTTCTACTTTAATCCCACCATTTCTAAAGCAATCTCTAAATCATCTGCCATGATTTCTCCTTCTCCTCTCTATTGATATTTATAATATCATTTTTTTACATCATCCAAATCATTAAACGCTCTTTAACATTATTCAATATCTTCTTCAGATAAAGTCATAATACATTATTTAAAATTTTATATATATTTTAGATTCAATTCAATTTATACATTAAAATGCAGTAAAAAAAAACTTTTACTTTTTTTATGGCCAAATGAATCATCATCATCAAGTTAAAAATATATACTTAGATAGGATGTACCAATTTTGCTTTGTGACACTTTAGGATTTGATCTTCCTTTTTTGTATTGCTGTAATTATTGTGATTTTTTTATTATTAAGAAAATAATTTAATCTTATAAGTTAGTTTATTCATTTTAAAATTCTTATTTCATTCCTAATTTTTCCAATTAGTTTTCACTTTTTTATACATAAGAAGTAAATTATTTGTCTTTTGAACTTCTTATATTAAAATCATCATAATTAATAAAATCTTCTTAGTAATTAGCGTTACATTTTTAATAATTATCTGATATTTAGCTTCTTTCCTTAAGAATAGTAGGGAATTTATTATTTTTCATATTTAATGTCTTTTAGAGGTTCAATTAGTTTAGTTGATAGATTAAATAAATAATGGTTGGTTTAAGAGTCTTAAATTACAAAAATTTATTAAATTTATTTTTGCTTTTTGGAGATGATTAATTCGTAAATCTTAAGGCAGCTTCCTTTTCATCATGAATGAAACTTGGGCTATATTTAGGGCTTAATATCGGAGGAATAAAATTATTATTCTGGATAGATTCAACATTTCATAATTTCATCCATTATCATATGAAGAATTAAATAATAAACACATATAATATCATTTTATAAATCTTTTATTTCTTATTCGGTTTCTCAAAATCAAAAATTCCCCCATAGTTACTTATTCTATTTAAATAAAAGAACAATATATTGAAAGAAATCTATTTGATATCTTATTTCAAATTCTTATCATATTAATTTATTTATTTGAACAATGCAATTTGAAATCCATTTTATTTTTTGAATTAATAATTATTGATAATTTCATAATGATATCATTTTTATTCTTTTTTTTAGGTTTATCTTTTGTATCAGATTTTGTTATAAATTATATTTTATTTAGAAATAGATTTACAATGCAAATGTATTTGTAAATTTTTATGACGGTGAAGAATAATATCGAAAAAATCCATAAAATCTGCTAATAAATTCTTATTCATTTTTAAACTGATGATCATTTACATGAGATAGCCATATTGATTGTTAATTAAAAATTAAATCTAAATTTAATAATAAAACTCATTTTAAGCCTAGAAAATCTTTATAATTATCTAATTTTATACAAATTTTTATTATTGAATGGAGAAATGTCTAGCTTAGAGTGACAATTAAGACTTCTTTATTTATCTTATTATAATTATTATTTGAGATATAGAACTGGATTTTTTATTAGTTCTTTATAAATGGTAATGAGTAGAATCAATAATTTATTTACAAAGGTACTTATGAAGTTTAATCTGTAAAGTATAAATAATATTACTTTAATGATTTTTCTTCTTGTAACTTTTTAGTTTCTTCTGATTAAGTTCGCTTAATAATATTGCTAAATCTCATGCGGAATTTAGAATTTAGTAGTAAAGTTAGAAATCTCTGAATTAAAGCTAGCATTTTAATTCTTAAGTTATTCACATAAGGTAATTAGATTTTAAAGTTTTGACTTAAATTTTTATTACATAAAATAAGTAAAATCTTTAATTATTAATGGACATCGATCGACATTTATCATCGCTACTTTCAGGAGGATGTCTTCCAGAAAGAGATCTCAAACTTATTTGTGAAAGAGCAAAAGAAATCTTTTTAGAAGAATCAAATGTATAACCTGTTAAAGCACCTGTCAATGTTTGTGGTGACATCCATGGTAAACTATTAAATATATAAATAGGACAATTTTATGATTTATAAGCTTTAATTAAAGAAGGTGGCGATATTCCTGATCACAATTATATTTTTATAGGTGATTTTGTTGACAGAGGATATAACAGTGTCGAAACTATGGAATATTTACTATGTTTGAAAGGTAAATTTAATTCTTATTATTATTAGTTAAATATCCAGGAAATATAGTATTACTTAGAGGAAATCATGAATCAAGATAATGCACATAAGTTTATGGATTTTATGAAGAAATCTTAAGAAAATATGGTAATAGTAGTCCATGGAGATTATTTATGGATGTTTTTGATTGTTTACCATTAGCAGCTTTAATTGAAGGTTAAATATTATGTGTACATGGAGGATTATCTCCTGAAATGAGAACTGTTGATTAAATAAGAACTATAGATAGAAAAGTAATTTATTATTCATTATTTTTAGATTGAAATTCCACATGAAGGTCCATTTTGTGATTTAATGTGGTCAGATCCAGAAGAAGTTGAATATTGGGCTGTTAATTCAAGAGGAGCTGGATATTTATTTGGTGCAAAAGTAACAAAAGAATTTTGTAGATTAAATGATTTAACATTAATTTGTAGAGCCCATTAATTAGTAATGGAAGGTTATAAGTATTGGTTCCCAGTAATTGTTATCAATTAATTATTTAGGATTAAAATTTGGTTACAGTATGGTCAGCTCCAAATTATTGTTATAGATGTGGAAATATAGCCTCCATTCTTTGTTTGGATAATTCTTTGTAACCTACATGGAAAACATTCAGAGAAGTTCCTGAAAGTGGAAAAAGCATTAACCCAAAAAATGTTCTTCCTTATTTCTTATGAAATATTTTATTTATATAAATACATAAATATTTAATAAATGAATAAAGATCAACCAGTTAAAATAGAGGATCGATATCTTCTTGCTTCCCTACATTATTAAGGTCGTCATTCGAACTTTTATAATGCTGTTGACATCAAACAAGAACAAAAATAGATTCTAATATAAATAGTATGATGAAGTTCTTATAATAATTAGATAACTGATTAATTATGTATTTGTAAATTATTCAAACGATTGGAGTAGTGTAATATATATTTTATGATAAAGTATAGCTATTGATCATAGAGACAAATCTAATGATCATCATAATAGGATGTCAAGATTCATTCCAATTCCAAGAATATATAAGATGGGAACCCTAGTAGTGTAAGACATTTCTTACAATTACATTGCTTGGCAAAAAAGTGGACCATCTTTAAAATTATGCTTCAAATTGATGAAATACAAATTTTCTTTTAAAACTATTACTTTAGTAGCACTAAAAATGGTAATTAAATAATAACAATTTTTATTAAGATTACTAATTTGTAGTAAATTCATAATTTAAACATTTTACATAGAAGTCTAAAATTATCATGTATTATGACTACAAATCATTCGAATTTATTAATCACTAATTTTGACGATTATGTAGAATTTTTAAATAAAGATGGTAAAATTTCAAACAAAGCTAAATAAATTCATATAAAAACAACTAAATTTAGTAGCATTGGATAACATTTACAATAGAGTAAATTCAATAATCAATTTTTTAGTACCATCACCTAGAGATGATTTAGAAACTCTTGGTTATCTCTTGTTATATTTGCTATCTTAAGGAAAACTACCAACCAAATGTAAATCTAAAGATTTAAACATAAGAGAAAAATTTTATATGGAATTTAAAAGATCATTTCTACCAGAAAAAGAATTGAAATAATTTCCAGAACCATTTTTACAGTTTTTTTAAAATGTTTTCAAATTAGGAATCAAAGAAATTCCTAATTATGAAATATTGAAATAACCCTTCATTCAATATTTAGGTAGATAGGAATAAGATTAAAATTTTGATTGGTCAGAAGTATTTAAACCTTTTGCTGAATAAACAGCAACATCAGAAAATTCATTAAGAGATAAAGCTTTTTCCATAGAATCTCTAATGATTAATAATTTTAAAAAAGAGCTCCATAAAGATAATTAATCAGCTCCAACAAGTCCAACTGATTTATAAGCATAAAAGAAATAAATAAAATCTTCTAGATATACTCTTGCACCTATTTTAGAAAAAAATGAATCCTTAATGACAAACTTCAATAATTGTGATTCTAATGCAGCATCACCTAGATTTTATCATTTGGCAAATTATAAATTTGATAATTGTCAATAAGATTCATCTTCAGGTGAAATTAGTCCAACAGATGAACCTACCGTTGATCAACTACCAACTTTTGAATAACACCATCATGATACTATGTGAATATTGTTTATATAATTTTATAATTAAAATTATAACATATTAATTTTATTTGGTTCAAATACATTTTAACAGCTCAAAATGGATACTAATAAAAAGGTCTTATTTAATACTACTATGTTAACTTAATCAATATAAACTACTTCTAATTCAATGAAGGATGATAACAAATTAGTAAAAGATATTTAAAATAAAATTCATTAAATTTTAAAAGGAGAAAATACTGAAAATGACTATTCACATAAATTAAAATGTAAGGTTCCACTTTATTAAACTATTGATTGTTAAAAGCTATGCAATAAATTAGCCAAATTTAATGAGTAATATCTAATTGATGAATCAGAAAAAAATCAAATAGCTATTAATGATAAGGTCTTAAAGTCATACAAATTTAATTCTGTTCTATCAAAAAGAAGACTTACAAAAAGTTTATAATAAAAAACTAAATCCTAAATTTCCAATTATACTCATAGATCATAAGATAAATAAAATAAAATATTTAACACTGAATGGATGGAATATCAAAATATATATGATTTGCATAATCTACTATCTCCTAATTCTTTAGATATGAGTCCTGCCTACGATGAAGTTGAATTCATTAAATCAAAAATTAAAAAACGTCATCAACTAGATATCGTCATTCCTCATAGTAGTCGTAATTTAATTAAAAACAATAAACCCAAGAATTTTATTGATTTAGATTAAATTTATATTGTCCAACCTAACAAGACTTTGACAAGTAGAATCATTTTTAAATAAAATCATAATCGAGAATCATAAAGAAAACATTATTGATTAAAAACTTGAAAATAAGTAAAATAACCTGTGAATAGAATAACAATAATAATTATTTTAAAAACATCATATTCTTTGAGATTTATGTATTTAAAAATAATCTATTTTATCTCCTTCTTTATTTATCGCATAAACAAATTACTTTCCATTTTCATAGTTATAAACCCAAAAATGAGCTTGTCTATTAGATTTTTCAATTATTTAATGATCTACCTAATGTGCAGATTATACACCCATAGCTCCATTTCCAACATAGTATGTATTCCCAGGATATACTTTTAATCTGCCATCAGATTTAATTACTTATATTTGTTTAGTTCTTTTAAAGTTATGTTTGTGGTGTTCAAAAACTAAATCAACCTTATTTAACTATTCACCTAGATTCATTAAAAAGTTTTCGTCTTCAATTAACAAAGGAATAACTGGTACATGATAACTAACTAAATTAATTTTATTTATGTCAATAGACCTTTCTAAAAATTATTTTTAATCTTCAGCTCTAGATTTAAAAAAGAACTTACTTAGTCATATAACCACTATCAATTGTTATAAAATTAATTGGCCCAATTCTATGAATAAAATACGAAGTTCTCTTCTAAATCTAAGGGATTTGGTTATTGATTAATTATTAAGGAAACATTTGAATAATGTATGGTACTTTTTAATTGAATTAATCATCATATAATAGTTGAGGATTGGTAACTCTACCAACATCATGATTTCCTATTGACAGTATTAAAGGTATCAATTTGCCTTTGGATATACATATATTCTCATACAATTCAAAGAATTTATCCCAACATGTTGTGCATGTAATAAATCCATTATCATATGCAACATCTCCTCCAATATTGATAACATCAATTTAAGGTTAAGATTAAATCATTTTCCAAATTTTAATTGAAGTCTTAGTATAACCTGAATCACCTCCATCTATTATAACAATATTAGTATTATTAAAATCAAAGTAATAATACTCAGCAATTAATACAGTCTTATCATATATCTATATTTAATTGGAGTTTTATTATATTTATATAATGCTGTGATAAATATATCTATCATATAGTTGATGGTTTGTAGTTTGTTATTTAACAGAATTACAATATACTTCATAATTTGATTATTCTTAAATTTAGAAGTTAAATATTATTGAATCATTATATTATGTCAAAGTTATATATGAATGAAATTTATTAGTATTTTAAAACAATCTAGAGAATGAAGTACTAAATGCAGCATCATCTATGCTAAAAATAAAGCCTTAATTAATATTGTGCATAGCAAAACAAACATCATATGTAAGTAAGTAAATAATAACAACGATAATTATTTTCTTGATTGACTTTCTATTGTGAATCAAAAGTATAATTAATGTTAGATATTTTAAATCTCCAAACCAAGAGAATGATAATATAGCTAAATTAATAGTAATGGATACTAGGTTCTTGAACTTCTATTTATAAAAAATCAATCCAAATATGAATAAGTTTGTTAAAACGATTAATTGTAAATATTATTCAGCTGTAAAATACTTTCCTTTTAAAATAGGCATCCATTCAAACATTAATTAATATTATAATAAATTATATTAAAATATAATAATAATATTAATCATTTAGTTGTTTTTAGAACTCTAAGTATTTCATATCTTGTATAAATAAGTTTTTTATATGTTTTTTATTCTTATTTTAACTCTTTAATCTATTAAAGTTTTAAACTTTCCTTCTTTTTCCTTAATTCAAATGTAAAGTACCCCTTTTTTAATCACCATTATTTTATCTTGATTAATTGATAATGCATCACATTCTATATTAAATTCCTATCTACTCTCAAATAATTAAGAGGTAATTTAAAATATGCTGCTATATTAAAATTTTATGTAATTTATGAAACGTTTTAATCAAAGTTACTAATTTGAGCTGGTGATCTTGCTTCATCAATTTTTTCAGTAAGTCCTTTAAATAATATAACAATAATAGGTCTATTTTCAAATTCTATTCATCTTTCAATTATAAAAATCTTGAGTTTGGTTATAGGAATGAAGATATTGACCAATTATCACGATTATTGAATTTAACTAATTCTTTATGAACTTAAAAGGATATTTTAAATCTTAAACCACTTTTAATGATCTTAAATTTACAATTTTAGATAAGTCCTTAATCATTTCTAAGGAATGTATATTTAGAATATTTAAAGAAAAAATAAAAAATCTTTTGCTAAATCTCAAAAATATTGATAAAATGTACTTATTATAATTATTGTACTTTCTGATAGAATCTAAACATACTATCTTATAATTATTGACATTTTTTATGGGATGACTAACTTTAATTAATTTTTTTCAGTTTCTGTTAAAGATTATATATTCCATGTTATTGCTATAAATAAAATTGTATCCTCAATAATGTAGGTTAATCAAATAATTTTGGCAATGATATCCATTCTTTTTATATCTTATTTATTATTACATAAATGTATCTTAATTTAGAAAAAGTTATTATTTTTCTTATCTCATATTCTTATATTTATCTTTTTTTTTTTT